TAAGCAGCCATTATTATTAGGTTCCAAAGGGTGATGTTTCATGTGTCGGAAGGAGAAGAGGGTTGGGGTGGGAGGGTGGCGGGTTGCGAATCATTGGACTTTGAGCAGTCACAGTGCTAGTGGGTTTGAATGACCTGTTTATCTTGCAAAAATAATATGATTAAATGCGGAGGATTCGCAGAACATACGTAACTCCCCGAAGGTGACAACAACCGATCAGTTTCTCAATACATCGCTGTTATATAGACGATTTAGACCATGTCTATTTTCGGATATCTTTACGTTCTGACTGCACAGCCGGATTCGTGTTTAGTTTGTACTTTTGTAAATGGTTTTGAAGACTATTGTTTATGCTCGAATGTAGATGCATTGTGATTAAAGTAAAGTATTTGGTATTTTGTGAACTACTTCGTTTTTGCAGTTAGAGTTATCGAGTATGCAAATTTCACCAGTAATTTGTCATATTATCATATTTCGCTCACCTGACTCTCCGCTCTGTAATGCAACAGTTTTCACACTAAAGGACTAGACTGGCTTGTAGACAGATTACCGATAGATTGTCCAGTCCAAAGAAAAGAAATTTTTCTTGGAGATTCATTAAGCCCGGCCCTTAAGCCAGCGAGGTTGTGTGTAAATAGCAATTCATTGGGGGCGCGGACCTACTCACTCGAATCATGCGCTCCTCGGTTATGGTTCAGGCGTATAAAGTGCTCAGCTCGCTTGCTCGCTCGAACTCGTGATAATCACAATCAAGATATCCTGAACCTAGTTCATACACCTCTTTCTTGGTTGGCTTGGAACCAGGCTTTTCCTGCTTACTTAGCTGCCCGTTGCGCACCAACCCGGAAAGTAGCTTTTAGCTTTCTCACGTTAGGGAAAGCACCCTCGCCACGAAAAGACAGGAGATAGAACCTTTCTGTTGGATGTTTATAAAAAACGCACTCCATCTGTAGAGCGAAGCTTCACCCACCCTAAAAAGAACGAGTTTTTGAGGCGTATTTAGTGTGTAAATTACAGTATCCTCAGTACTAGTCCTCACATTTCAAATGCTTGATGTAGAGCGCAAACGTTGCCCTTGAATCGACTGTGTTATCTGCCTGTATGCCCCTTTCTACAAAACTCTAGGGTATTTTCTAGTTTTGTATGTACCGTTCTTGTATCAGCAGGCTTTTGGGTACGGATACACTCCTGCCTTTAACCCCCGGTAAATGCTGAACGTAGAAATCTTTACTATATATTCACTGTAGAATTTCCTTACAGCAGCTGTTTGAGTGATGCAACGGGGTAAGCACGCGAATATCGGAGATACTTTTGTCGAACTGAAAACCTATATCTTTGTTTGAAGCAGCCTTCGACTCAGTTAACCGCTTTAACCTTTGGTATTGCCTCTCTCTGAAGGATGTGCCCGGGAAGTTGATTTCAATTTTGCCACCTGTTAATATTAATAGCTGAAGTCGAGTCTGAGCATACGACACTTTTCATCCGAGTTCACTACAGAACGTGGTGTTCGTCATGGTTACCTTTTTCTCCTTCTATATTTAACTTTGTAATAGATTAAATTCTTGAAAAACAGCCCTATCCTCTTGTGTGGATAGTGGCATCGATTTTCTCCCAGGTGGTAGACTATGGGATCTGGAGTATGCAGACGACATTGTGCTGCGAAGTAAAAATTCCAGGTAAGTTGCTGGCTTTTCTGGATAGTTTGGGTGCTAGTGTAGCCATATTCGGTATGCGTTTTGCACCCTCAAAGTGTAAAATGTTACCACAAGACTGGGTTGCCCCAGCCCCCAACCTTACTCTAAGTGGGAGGTAGTAGAGGAAGTAGGCGAATTTTTCCATTTGCGTAGCTATATCTCACCTGGCGAACTCGTCACAGATGAAGTGTCGGCACCGATACAGTAGGGTCGATTGGCACTCGCGAACTTGAGACATCTGTGGCGCCGTCGTGACTTCCGATTGTCTGTGAAGGGTCGAGTGTATGCTGCGGCAGTTCGGCCGGTTCTTCTGTGTAGTACAGAGACTTGGCCGTTGCAGGAAAAGAGTAGAAATGGATTGTCTTTGTTCGCACAGCGCTGTCTACACCGCATTGCACAAATCTAGTGGGGTAGCCGGATGAGCAATGCTGAGGTTAGACGCAGAGTTTTAGGTAATCACGGTTTCCCAATAGACCTTCATAGATTACGTTGGTTGAGACATGTGTTACGCATATCATCAAATAGGTTGCCACGGCGAGCGATATTTGCAGAGGCAGGTAGCGGATGGAAAAAGGTCAAGGGCGGTCGGACTAAGACCTGGCACGAGGGTATAACAACTCTAGCGAGGACACTGAGTTACAAGGGTCCTGTTAGACACCCTGGCTGGGGACCCTAAGATCATGGTCAACGATGATTAGAGACGCTGTGTGATATTGTTGAGTGTCGTAAACAGTGGCGTTCGTACATCTCAATTTATTGGCAACCTTATTCCACCGAAATTCTTCTTTTTCTGTTCGACTCTGCTTTAAACGTTTCTATCTTCCTCCTGTTCAGTTAATTTGCCAGCCAGAGAACAGTAACCAAAACCGATGCACAAAACTGCATGGTTAATGGTTGTATAAACTTATAAAAAAACTGAAGCTGAATCCAGCGAGCACTATGTTTCCTTTGGTTTCCATGACCATTATCTTCTAGCGAATTCCCCGAGGCCTTCACTGACGTTCACTCCCAATAAAACGCGGAGATTTAAATAAGACGTGGTACTGTGGGATGACGTTTAACTTTGAATGTTCAACAAATGGACCTTTGTATCATTACAGTGTGTTTCCCCACTGTAATTTCGTAAAATAACGTCCGATAGTAACAGTGCATCGTCAAATCCACTCCACTTGATTGTTTAAACAGTTGTGAGGCTCCACAGTCCGCACGAAGGTATACAGTTTCTCGGGCTAGCAGACAGCAAAATTTAAATGGTCATTCGGATGGGATCAAGTTCTCGATCTATCAGCATGTGTGAAAGTGGAAAAATCGGTTTCATTGACCATCATAATGCATCCCACGAGATTCTCCGGAAATAGTTATCACCTTTCCGGTTTTGATACAGGTGTAATTGTAGTTGCTGTCAACGCTACGGTGTAATCGGTTGCTCCATTGGGTGATTGATGAGATGCGATGAAGAATTTAGAATTAGTACTGAAAAACTTGCCTCCATTAGTCATCAAGATTGGTATGCAAGTCAACGATGATCGTGACTCTCATCAAGTTTAAAAACATCATTTTGAAGCGATTGAATTCACCACCTGCATGCCAAAAATAGCGGGGCTTTAAGTGCTCGATCACTGCAAGTTCTGTGGCTAGAACTCACCTTTTGATTCTCCGTTTAAAGACAGGCTGCTGTAAGTTAGAGGAAGTAGACGATGGTTCGGAAATTATGAAGTCAAATATTTTTTGAAGATAGAAGTGAAGCATACGGAGTTTGCGCGAGAATTGTTTTCGCATGAATAGTTATTCATGATGCGTTAAGAAAATGGAACTGGCAACCTTTTTGTGATTTACCTAAGGCCCCGATGGATTAACGTTCTGTTGCCTACTTCGATAGTATACCTGTTTACAACGCTCCAATTCACACCATCGATTCTTGTTCTAATAACTCATACAGTGCCGGACAAGAAGCAAGACCAGTGTGGCTTAATCTCTCTCTCTCTCTCATACCGACTTCTGGTTATCCTGTCATGCAACGACTGCCTCGGCTTGAATTAAATAGGAGCTCGAAGATCATTTGGACGTTGTGGTAAGACTGTGATATTCTGAAACAGGGGTAGCCGTTCTTTTGTCATAGTGTATCCTGATGAGTTAGATAGTGGATCGCGATTGCATCAAAGATACTGTTTGATAAGCTTTATCATTTGCCTTCATAATCGATCATGGAAGGCGTACCAGAAAGGTTCTCTCATGGATACCTAGTAAACAAATCCGAGATTTCTTCCTTTGTCTTTTCATGATATTGATTTTTTCTTCACGAATAACGTGAACATCATTCAAGCTCTACTGATTGATCTCGCAGCTACTGTCACAAGTGTTCAATGACGCTCACTTTGGATTTTTTCCGCACCTTGTAATTGATGCTTTCAGGTTTTCGATTTAGACGAACTGATGATCATCGCAGATGCATGTTGTCGTCACAATTTGGTTTGCGTTTCGGACGAGGTTTACGAGTGGCTTGTCTTCCCTCCAAAGCAGCACCACAAAATCGGTTAGCGTCTGTTGTGATCGATCATTGCCCCTAGTGATTCTCTGTTTTTCTGTGCTTTCAACTACGGTGCTGATTACATGCTCGGTTGACTGTAACTACGTACGTGCGAACCGGGTTGCATGTGTGGTTTCGAGTGGCAGTAGCACAATAGTTGGTTTTTTCGTATCAGACCATTTAAAGTTTTGCAGTACTTGCTTTTCATTCATTGAAACGGCGTAATTGGGGTTACGGTTGAACTAGCATTCGCAACGGAGTACAACTTCCTCCTGAACTAGAGTACGAACTGTTTCTACTGGACACAAATAGTTTCACTTCGGCTGAATCATAGGATCTAGGGGTAGGGGGTGGGTGGATGAAGAAGAGCAAAGTTAACTATGTAACTGGTTTAAGAGTTTATCTCGAGGTTCAAATATCCAATGTGTTACGCGGAAACTTACTCCTTTTAGTACTGTAATGCATCGGAAACCGATCCTGGATAGACTGTCGTTGCAGCTGCTCACTGCACACGATAGAGCATAACTGTTTTCATTCCAATGCCTTGGCACGGGCAACCTGGTAGTATTACGCCCGCAAACAAATAATTGAAATTTCTCTTTTTTATGCAGATTATTGTACTATGATTTGTTTGTCGCGCAGTCTGGATACACTTTTCACTCAATTCTGCTCCTCTGCATCCTCATGCATCGGTGAACCGTCCTATTATTTTTTTCCTTATCAAGCATCTCTTCCGGGAATGTGGTCTCGTACGCTGACCATCGGAAGTGCCGGTAAAACATTCAGTGTCACCGGATGGAAACTAGGTTGGACTGTGGGACCAGCTAATTTGATTCACGGAATGCAACTGCATCAACAGAACACAGTTTATACCTGCCCAACACCAATTCAGGTATGGGATACAGTTTTACTGTAATTTTACTCACAGCTCTTTCATGCACGTAGTCGTCGAGTTTCATGAATGTGTGCATTTGCAGTCGCATTGTTTTGACTTCTTTTGTGACGGCCACGTCATCCTGGGATCTGTCTGGGCTCATTTGTCGTTGAGGCGATTGGGTGAACAGTCGCATATCGTGCATTTTCTGGTCTGTCATGTAGAACCGTATATCCGTTGTTTATTCAGCACCATAGGTCGTAGTTTGGTTTGTGACATATTTATTCACTTTCATTATCCCGTTAATTAATAAAACTGATTTATCATAAGCAATATTGATTTGGATTGATCTTCCTTCAGACTCCATCTTCTGGGTTCATTCAGTCATCTGTACACTCAGGACGGCACCGCAGTTGAATTTCGCTCACCATTTTGTCGTTCCCTAATCGACCTTACTGGCGATTCATTTGTAGGCTATATTTTTCGCATTCCCAACTAACGTCCGACTCTGATCGGTGCCCGCCTCTTTAACCATCTCAGGAAGCCACAGCACGAAGTCTTGAAATCGAGCTCCCATTACTGTCAACACCCGAGTCATATTTTGAGGAAATGCGCCGAACCATTGAACCGAAAGGACGGAAAATGGTAGAACGACTTAACAAAATTGGAATGTCAGCTGTTCGACCCACTGGTGGCTATTTTTTATTCGCAGATGTTTCGAAAATGCGTGAGTATTTTACCGTCCTAACTGTCATCTAATACTGTTTGAGAGTTGACCCCATTTCACTTGTGAGTTGCAACTAGATAAAGGATACTGTAACTTTGAGAAGGTTATACTTGGCATAGATATTGAGGCTAAGCAAAGGGTTGGTCAGTGAATCTTTGTAGGATAATTCCGAAATTTCTTCATAGAGTACCCAGGATCCTAGCAAGCCAGTCGGTATACGACTGGCATAACTGACTGCATGTGAAGCGACTTGGTCACGGTTACAAACAGTCTGGTGTGTAAACCGCCTATGCTAATTACGCCAAGATACTGTAATTTTTCCATCTACTTTCGATAATCGGATGATGATCTTTTTACAGCGGTCAATAAAGCCGTGGTCTCTATAAAAATGTGAGAGTACTTGACTAAGAAATCTGTATATAAATATTAGTCACAAATGTTCGCGAATTAGAGTGCGACGAAAGCATACAGATAATGCCACAAAGTTTCACTCCTTTCCGTTGGTTCCTCTAACGCACATGATCCACTACAAAAAAGTCTCGATCTGTCCCTGAGTCATTCAAACCACACCCTTTCCGTTTAAATGTCCACTGCGCAGTTCATGTTGAAACGATTTCGTTTTAGCTGCTCTGGGGCTGATTCATCTTGTTAAATCAAATCTAATGGGTTATGCTTCTCTCTCCAGCCTCCACCTGTTTTATCAGACTCCCGGAATTCGCGGTAATTGGATAACAATATACATCCGTTTTCGGTATTCAACGTTCTTACTTTCATTATGGGCGATTTTGCAAGCTAACGCTTATCATGCCCCATTAGATTTTTACGGAATGGTTTGAACAGCTTTACAAATGATAATAATAATGTGTATGATCACCCAGGAGTGTTGAAAAATTAAGTGTTCCAATGCTTTATCAATTTGCGATGTGAATAATTCAACTGTAGGAGCATACTCAACACGGGATGAAAGAGAATTTTATACACCACACTCTGATTGCAAACGAATGATGCCGGCGATCTAGGTGGCTGTTCTGGGTCCTCCCCGGAGATGGTTATGTTGAGATCAGGTTAACGCAGAACGGCAAGGATGGTTGGGCTGATGCACTGTGTGGTATGTCAAGACTGGGTCCGCAAATTCGACGATACTGAGACAAGTAAAACCCCAATATTTGCTGCCTTTTGAAGTGTGTCTTGCTATAGACCTTTTACCATTTTTGTTGCCAACCTCTGCGGACGTTCTAGAGCCCTCGTGACGTGATTCAACCATGGAGACCCTACTTAAACGGCATCTTTTCATTCAGTAGGGCGATTGTTTTTTTTCAAATTTTGCCCCTCTGTTGATAATAGCTTTTAAAACTTTTCCGTCCTGCGTTTCATACACTACTATCGGAGTTTCTAAACAATCATTGCAAACCCACAAGCTGTTTGACTGGGTCATGATATGTCATTCGTTTGGTCTAGAGTTTTGCATACGACGCATGAATGTACTTTGGTCCATGATTGTAGGCAATGCCCGACTTGACGTCTTTTTAGCACGTCATCGAACTGCGTACTCCCGATCCTTGTGTTGCACTTGGTGTGTGGCTCCTGGCAGAAACGCGATGAACCATTTTGATCAAATTACCGTTTGGTTGGTCGATAACACACTAAACGATTACTGATTAAAACCTGACGGACTTTAGCTAAATCGATGTCATCTGTTAATCAATCAATCCGGCCACAGACATGCATGACAGGTTTTAGTGAATTGTAGGCCACAACAGACAGAGAAATTGAAGAGGTTTATTTTTCATGTGTACTTGAAATGTTTACTTGTTCGTAGTTTGAATGTGTTTTTAGTTCCCTCATTTGCATATTGTTTTCTCTAGAGCGAATAACGACCTGATGAAAAGGTAACTGGAAGGGGAACATTACCCGATTTTTTTTCGAATGCTGTTTCTTGGCTCATGAACAGTGCATTACCTGGTATAAATACATACTGCAACCTGTTTTTTTAAACTTCCAATCTGAGGGCTAGTCAGTTCCTATCTAACTCGCCTGGGAGGTGGCATTTTATGCTAGTCACATAGGTGTATTCCGTCGCCTTTATTTCTCCATGGTTCGTGCTTTTTGTTGTTTTGGTTTGATATTTGAGAGAAATGTATTCATTGTTCGGATTTCATAAAGTTTGCCACCCGAAGTGTTTTCATATATCTCGTATCCTGAGAACTGTCTTTGTCTTCGTTACTTCATTTGCCCGACCCGTCATCTCACTACTATCAGCTGTACCAAAGGGCAATCTGGATGCAATCGGTGATCATTCGGCCACATATGATTCGAAGTTCAATTTGTGGATGATGCAGAAAAAGGTGAGTTCCATTGCGAATATTAGTCGCATTCCTCTTCGGCTTGGATCAAATCGGATCGGTTTTGTTCTTTATCAATCTAGTATTCATACTCGTGTCAGGGAATACCATTTACTGTTCANCCCGCCCCCCCCCCTGTGTTCCTGCATGTTTTTCTGTTTTTCTTTCACCTGAAACTTACAACCCATGCTGCATTCTAAGTGTTCGTTCATTCTGTTGACCATGGAAACTTGGCATCCCCAACCACAGCATCCATTTATCTATCAGTTTTGGTTTCATTCATTTAAATCATATTTTGGATATGCCAGATTTCTGCCTCAAAGTTTAATTACGCTCAGGTGCATGCGGAATAGCGCTCGAATAACCACACTAGAAACTGGGTTCAGCATAATCTACACTAATCTTCGTGATTTTTTTGCTCCCACTCATAGTTTTGCAGCTTTTAATCACATTTTTCATCCTTCAACACATCAAGCGTGAGATGAAAGTATTAAGCTGATTACCAAACACACGGGCCCTCATTGATTTTGATTAAAGCACAGCGCTCGGGCATACTTTCAATTCAGTTTCGGATTATCTGAACTTCAAAATTGTTCCACCTCGTTGATCCATGACCACTGTGGAATAGGTTTCCGTACATGGAAATCCAAACCCAGACGTTTTCAGTGGGGTTCCAATCTGGGTTCTGGATTCACCAGCCCATGGTCTTGATGTTTCGGTACATCAACTGTATTCTGTTGATTTGGGCTTTATGTACAGAGTAATAATCTCAATCGATTTTCTAAGATTTCGAGAAGAATAAACTCGTTCATGTAGTGTTTATCTGTCTGACTTCCTCAATAATTACCAGCTAATAGTTCTAATCCGCAAAGTGGCATCACAGACCACAATAGGGCTTTCGCGGTAGTCTCAACGGTTGAGCGCTAATACGCTCTTACCCAAGTCTCGTAATGCATAAGTCCATTAGGACCGTCAAGTTGGAATGTTTCTCATTGCGGAATATTATCACACCAATCCATCCAGCTGATGTAACTACTAACCCACACAAACCGATCGTCAATATGACGGTCTTTCTATGATATTAGTAGTATTAGTATTGATTTCATCGGAACAGTTGTAAGTTGTTGCTGTACTCGGTGCACAGTCCCGCCCGAGCGTAATGATCACTGTACCTTTACCGGACCTGTCATCTGCTTTGGAGCAGCACCGAGGAGCTGTCTCGTGTTTTGTTCAGAGATCCTTCCTTGAATCCCGCGTTTTGGGAGTTATATCGCCAAAGGGTTATAAACAACCCCGATGATCGATGAATTTTTCCGGCAATTTTGAGAATGCAAGATATTTTAATGCGACCGTTCTACGTGGATCCAAGTCTGACAGCCCTGAACAGCGTATCATTCTTTTTGCAGGGTGTTTCAGGTATTCCGATGAGTGTTTTCTATTCCAAGGAAAATGCACATCTCGGTGGAAACTATCTCCGGTTTTGCTTTTTCAAGGTGGGTTTTTTTCCGTTAATTTGAGCGATGTGTGCTGTTGATGAATTTTCATGAACATTCGAATAGAAATTCAATACTACAATTAAACTTTTCAAAGGTGATATTCATCGGTAAGCTAGTCTGTTCTGTTATTTTCCTACCGATATACGAATCCATCATTCTTTCAGGATGCATTAGAGATAGAATCGAAATTGCTGCGATTTGCACTTTCTCACTGCATTAATGTCGATCTGTGTGGGATATACAATTAGCATCTGGTGGTATTTTTTAATTTGCTCTATTTCGGTTTAGGTGGAGAATCCTATAATTAGGGCATGCACTTGCAACCATCCGTCAAGTACGGTAGAAAATAATTGTAGAAAATTTTCATACTTGCTGGCTAGTTCCGATGATCGTTGAGCTTGTGTGTGGTATTGTCGTAGTTTTACCATATATTCATACCTATCTACTCCGTTTGGACGATTTATGTCCATAAAATACCAATTACCCTATGCCCACGGTTGTACGTCTTTTTCATGCTTCCAGGAGGATGAGACATTGGAAAAAGCTTATCAGCTTCTGGAAAACTGGTAACGCCTATGATCTGTGAATGCAACGCCCTAGAGGTTCCGTTTTCCATTCTATTCTTAGTCTGAACACAGACAATCATATTTCGCGCTGTTTTTTATGCATCCGACTCTATCCACCATGATTTCCTCGATTGTATTCGTCTGTCCTCGTTGAATCTTCCCGGTGATGGTTACTCTCGGTTTATTTTGTCCATCATCTTATTCTTTTCAGTTTGTAGCTCATTTTGATTTTGCTCCTTAGTCCATCCAGCGTTTTGTTCGATCGTGTTTCTTCAAAATTCTCCGAGACGTGTTTCGTTTCATTCACACGGATATGACGATTTGTTTCTCTTTACTTTGGCGCAATCAGTCATTCCCAGCTGGTCCCAGTGGTCTTTGTTTTTATTTTTTGTCGATCCGAAACCCTGTGGTTTGACTCGTTTGTCGCAACACAAATCAGATGTTCCGAGATCTAGTGTCGAAATTCATCATGTTCCCAATTTCTCTGTTTTCGACCAGATTTACGTGCTACGCAGCCTCATGCTCGTTGCTCTCCAACACTGTTTCCGTTTGGGAGGCCGGAATTAGGACGCTGCCGGTCTTCCCCATTTCGTCATTTTTCCAGACAGCCTTTGTATTACCGCCACCC